TATAGAAAAAGCCACAACTACAGACTATTTTTAAAAACAGTTTCATTATCTTCAGTTAAATACCTTTAGTTGAAGTGATCATTCAAAAAAACAGTTGTCAGATATGGGTGTTCTTCAGTATGCCAAAATGAACACATAAAAGTCATTTGTAAAGAGCGCATTGTTTATATGTCAATGGTATTACAAAGTGCTTAAAAATAGTTTGCTTTCTTAATTGGATTAAACAGACTTCCTGCAATCTCTCTAACTTTATTGATTTACTTAATGAACCTTTTTTTCATAGATATAAGAAATGTAAATTCCAGCTTGGTCTGTGAGCAAAGTATCTTAGATTCTGAAGCAGTGCAGCCTTAATTAATGAGGCTATGCTCTATATCACTAGTGAGGCTCAAAGATTTATTACGTTAAAATAGTCATAATGAGAACAATTCTCCACATGTGGCTAAGAGAGAGGGCCTTGCTCAGGTCACTAGAGAAGGAATTGCTTTCTTCCCACTTCCACTCAGGTCACCCACAGTGGCAGCTACATTGTCACAAAGGTTTCAGATAGATGGAGGATCCTGGAATTAAGAGACATGAGCAATAAACAAGGGCCTGCAAGAAGGAGAAGCTCAAGTTACGGAAGCACCAGGATCTGTACCCAAGTAGGTTCATTTGCCGGGATAGGGACGCCAGGAAGAAAACACAGCAGAGCAACCAGTGGCCCTGGTCATGGTACCGAGCCCAAAAAGTAACAAGGTGCATCAATAGGTTTGTCAGAAGCCCAGAACCATGGCAAGTGATAATGTCCTTTCAGTGTTAGGATATAACTGAAGTGACCTTTGTAAGGGCACAAGAAAGAAGTGAAAATATGAAGACAGTGGTGCTCTTTGAGCTGGCTGGATGTCCTCACCACAGTGGCAACAAATGGAAACGCTCTGGTTCCAGCCCATCAGCTCCACTCTGCTAAGACCCCCTTTTAGCCGACCTTAGAGGCAGCTTAGAGCAGATCAAAATGACCAAAACTTAAGGCCTCAGCCACACACCTCTTGCCTTGGGACATGTCTAAGGGCATTGTTCAAGACCCTTGCCCTAGGATACTATTAGGTAACAAATAAAAGTACAATCATTTAGAGAAAAAAAACTATTACGTTTTTTTAATAAGTTTTGATGGTTAATGACATCAACTTGACTAGATTAATACATGTCTAGGAGATTCCTAAAGCACACTTCTGAGTGTCTCTGGGAACTGTTTCCAGAGATGATGGGCACATAGGCCAGCAAACTGGATGAGGGGACCCTAATTATGGATTGTATCACCTAATAGGCTGCAGTTCAGATGGAGTGGAAGGATAGAAGGAACTGGGCTTGCATTTGAATAGCTCCATTCTACTTCAGCAGGTGTGACTTTGCTGTCCCTGTCACCTATGGACATCAAATTCCAGCTTCTTCAGCGTTCAACACTCTCCAGGCCTTGCCTAGCACTATATCCTTGGTCCATCTTGCTGAGGCCTCTGCTTTCTTGGACTGAGGGGCTACTGTATCCTCTGGTTCTCTTGCCCCCTGCTTCCTGGGTACTGGGAGTGGAACAGCTTTTTTTGTGCCATACTCTTCAACCATGCAGTTTCTGCTTTGGAGCCAGCTCACCACAGACTGAGCCCCCTGAAACTATGAGCCAAAGTAAACCTCATCCGTTGAGTTGCAGGCATCCAGTATTTGGTCTCAGTGACAAAAGTTTCACCTATATCGAAGTATTAAAAAATATCTACACACTACCAACTATTTTAGCTTTGAAGAAACGACAACTTAGAAATTAGATTTTACTTATCCAGACCATTCTGACAGTTAGTCACATAGCTGGGTTGGGTCTGGTTAAGAAGCCTTCCCAAGATTCCAGGGAGTGTGGGCTATTGAAACACACAGTGATATACTACTGATGAGAGATGCTGTGATTTGAATGCATGCCCCCAAATTCATGTGTTGGAAATTTAATCTCCAACTTTATATATTAATGGTAATTGGAGATAAGGCCCTCAGAAGGTGTTTAGGGTTAGGTGAGATCAGAGGGTGAGGCTTCTAATGGCATAGAAGAGGAGAAGCCTAAGCTACTACACTTACTTGATCTTAGTGTGACACCCTCCACCATGGAAGTCCCTCACCAGGTGCCACGCAGAAGCAAGTGTTATGCTGTTGGACTTCCCAGCCTCTGGAAAAATGGTTAAAATAAACCTCTATTCCTTATAAATTTATCAGTTTCAGGTATGTTGCTATGGCAGAAAAAGTGGGCTAAACAAGAGAAAGGTATCTGAAGGACAAAGACAAACACAGTTGAGGAACCAAGGAATAAATGTTCAAGCACAGCCAAACTTCAGGATTCTACAGGATCCAGGAAGGCTTGTGTGGTCTACAGACAATCATCCAACATAAGGGAATCATAAATCAAGCCATCAACCCAAAGTCAGAGGTTAAAGTGCTCTTCGTCTCAAGGCAGGGTGCTGGTCCTAGCATGGAAAGATCTGTCCTCCATGGCTGGAGCACGGAAGTGGGACCTGCTACGTCCTGAACTAAGGTAAAATGGGACCAGAGAGAGCCCCAACAGGCAACATGAAACAGCATGCTTCTACACATGAAATGAACATTCTCACTAAGAGGCTGTATGCAATTGTGGCAGAGAATTTTGAGCTCCGTTGTCACTCAGACCTGAAAATCCTGTGCTCCTCATAGTCATTAGTAGCTAACAGTGAGCAGGCAGTTTAACCCCTTAAAGCTGTGCTCCCCACATCTGCGAAGTAGTGATACTAAAAATAATACTTGACTTCATAAAATTGGCATAAGGACTAAAATAAATTGTGTATGCAAAATGCTTAGCCAAGTACTTGGTACATACATCTCATAAATGCCAACTATAATCATTATTTATGCTTTTCAAAATTCTTACATATTCATAGTTTTATTTGAGTTGGGGAAGTGTAGTACTAGGTGCAGCATACAAATACAAGAGCTTGTAGAGTACTACTTAAAAATTGTGTTGGCACTGCCTTCCCCTGCTCCAATTTTCCAGTAAGATGTAGCAGGCTGAATATAGAAGGCTGGCCAGGTGAATATGTACCAGGGATCATTTCGAGTTCCCCTTCCCAGATGGAAAAGGACAAGAGTGAAGACATCATTCATTGAACTTAAATTTTTTTTACCAATCAAGCGCAATAACTTTATGTGCTGAATTGTCTTGGGAGAGATGCCAAGACAACACCAGAGAGCAAACCAAGGCTGACCTCTAGAAACACAAGTCCTTACCTTCTTCACACTTACAATGCAGCACAATTTAGAACAGATCCCTTAAGCACGTTTACTGACACTTACAAATAACTGGCTTAGGTTGTAGCTATTTTAAGGTAAGCACAGTCTCTTCGGACACGTTGTAAACTCCTTGTGGACTAAAACTTTAACTTATCCTCTTTGCTTTCCCTGGAGCATCTGGAAAGGTGCTGTGTGAATAAAATATGCCCAATAAGCACACAGTGATTCATTGGCAGAGGGATTCAATATTCGGAAAATAAATTCCACTTCAGTAAGGCTGAGGTTGAAAGCATCCTTTGATAACCTTCCCTACTAGCGCCAGGTACTTTGTTTCTGTGATTAAGAAGTTTCTGTGAGTAAGCAGGAATATGTATTCAGAGTGATTTTCTAGTGCCTCACCCTCTTGTAGTACAGAATAAAGTGCTACCAAAGAATGCCAGATTACCATGGTGCTAAAACTGTCCAAACCACGAGTACTTAGGGCTGTTTTAAAAACAGTGGTTTCCCTACATCCCAGAGCAACCAGAAGAGAGAATTACATCATTTAATGTTGACCAGAAGCCCAGTTTAAGGGGTCTCTAAGTAGAAAGCGTACATGACCCAATCAGTGAGTCAAATGGCCACAGAATCCCTATGTGGAGGCGGGTTTAACATGGCTGGCTGGGGTGCGGGAGAATAGGTGTGCATTAGGGACCCCATCTACGTTCAACACGACAAATTTCTGAGAGTTGAAAATTTTAAAAGAGCCATTTGGCAGCATCTGGTACCTGCTTGTTGATAGTGTAGACTTTGCTTGGCAAGTTGAAAAGCGATACCAAACAAATCCTATCTCTGGCAATTAGAAGCACTTAAATAAGCTAATATAATCAATTATGTCTTTTAATTTGCCAGACAGCATTTACAGGGTTTAATTTTCTGCTGCTACACCTTCCAAATTATCTTCAGGTGGTGTTTGGAATCTAACAGGAAAATGTATTACAGTTGTGTTGATATTATCTATGCTAAATTCTTCATACACACTTATCCTCAGACCAATACATCCATATCCCATACTTGGAAGTGAAATGCATAAATAATGAAGAAATTCCTATATTCACTTAACATTTCTGTTTCACAACATTTATGTTATCTTCCTGCTAGTCTGTCCACAAAGTCACATAGAAGCCACTCACGTTAATGATACATTCCAGATACCTAAAACTATTATATACAAAAATACATAATGCAAAAATAGCTACTTAAATTAAGAGACTGAATTTCTTATGATGGGTTGACAGCATTGGGAAGTAAAATTTCCCGTGGAAAAAAAATTAAACATGAGATCTCAGTGAGGAGCGAGCAGATGTACTGACCCATCAGGTGACTTCCAAGGGACCCTCCTCAAAGCACCAGTAACAATAACACCATCATACTTAAACTATAGTAATTATTTAGGAGATAGCATAGGATGGCATAGGATGTAGATGAAAGCCACCTATCCCACACAAAGAGGAAATTCTCCATCACAGAGACAAGATGCACAAACATTTTCCTCCCTACTGGAGAGTACTAGAATTCACTACATCAAGCAGTGGGACTTCCCTAAGTGCTGTAAGGAATAAGTAGCTATAAAACGCAAACAGCAGCCATTATGTCAGAAAACTGCAACCAGATGGTGTTAGAACAGAAGAGGTCTCTGATAATATCAAAATTATTTTCATAAGGGAAGGAGAGAAAGAACTCACAAGTGCTTCTCTGGTTTGCTTCAAGTATTACCAGGTTCCAGGGTGCTGGGGATTTCTTCTAGAGATTCTTTCTAGGCTCCTCTTTTCCTAAACAAAAAGACAAAACAAACACAATAGGTAGTAAGGCTTTACATTCTTTGAAAATAGGAAAAGAAAAATTCTGTGCAAAAGAAACTCACAGACTGAAAGTGAAAGGATGGAAAACAAGTTCTCCATGCAACAGGAGCCCAGAAAAAAGCAGGGTAGCTATTTATTCAAAAAATAAATTTCAAACAAAAATGAATTGCAAGAGACAAAGAAGGCCACTACATCCCTGTAAAGAAAACAATCCATGAGGAAAAGATGACAATACTAAATATATACAAACCAAATATTAATGCCCCCAACTATATAAAACAAATATTAAGGGACATGAAAAATCCAAATAAGCACTAATACTAATGGTAATACTAATACTAATACTAACATCACTAATTGTACTGTGGGACATAAATACCCCACTATCACAAAAAGATAGATCATCTAGACAAAAAACCAACATTAAAATACTAGAACTGAACTAAGCTTTTGAAGAAATGGAATTAATAGATGTCTACAGAGTGTTGCACTCCACAAAATCAGAGTAAACATTCTCTTCAGCTACACATGGGTAATTCTCCAAAATAGAACACATACTAGCTCATACAACATGTTTCAGTGAATGCAAAGGAACTGAAGTTATCCCATGTATATTGTCGGACAACAGTGCAAATAAGCTGGGGATTGATAGCGTAAGAAACCATTACAATGTCACAAATCCATGGACATTAATAACACTCTCCCAAACAGTGGGTCACAGAGGAAATCAACGAAGAAATTAGTCAGTTTTTACAAATAAATGATAGTGCCAATACAACATACAGGAATCCATGGGACACAATGAAAGCAGTTCTAACTGGAAAATTCATAGCAGTCAATGCCCACACTAGGAAAATACAGCGATTTCAAATGAACAACCTAATAATGAATCATAGGCTCCTAGAAAAAGAAGTGCAAGAAAAATCCAAAGTTCATATAAGGGAGGATATTATAAAGATCACAGCAGAAATCAAAGCAATGGAAACTAAGAGAATGATACAAAAAAAAAAATAAATGAATCAAAGAGTTACTTTTTTAAAAGAATAAAAGAAATTGATAAACCCTCACCCAAGCTTGTCAAAAAAAGGAAAGAAAAGGCTCAGATCCATGCAATTAGGAATGAAAAAGGTGAAATCACAACAGATCCAACATAAATCCAGAGAATCATCAATATCTACTTCGAGAACCCGTACTCTAAGAAAATGGAAAACACAGAAGAAACGGACAGATTTCTAGATGCTTATGAATGAAGAACATAAAAAAACTCTAAACACAGCAATTACAATCAGTGAAATTGAAAACATAATAAAAAATTAACAAATTAAGAAAAGCCCAGGTCCTGATGGTTTCACTACTGAATTCTACAAGAAATTTAGAAAACAACTACTGCTACTACTCTTTAAACTTTTCAATGAAATTGAAAGGGAAGCAATACTTCCAAATTCATTCCTGGAAGCAAGTGTTACTTTGACTCCAAAACCAAATGTATCCTCAAAATATACCTATTTTCCTATGAGTGAATCTAATTTCTTATTCTTTATGGCTGAGTAGTATTCCATTTTATAGAAAAACCACATCTTCTTTATCCAGTTTCCAACTGATGGGCAAATGGGCTGTTTCAAAGTTTTAGCTATTACAAACTGTGCTGCTATAAACATGTGTGCGCATACATCACTGTGATATGATTCTTTTAGTTCTTTTGGAAAGATACCCAGCAGAGGGATGACTGGGTCAAATGGAACCTCTAGTCCAAGCTCTTTGAGGTATCTCCATATTGATTTCCATAGTGGTTGTACCAGTCTGCACTCCCACCAACAATGAAGAAGGGTTCCTTTCTCCCCACAACCCCGCCAACATTTATTATTGGTGGATTTCTTGATAGCAGCCATTCTTTGCGGGGTGAGGTGGAATCTCAATGTTGTTTTCATCTGCATCTCTCGAATGACCAGTAATGTCGAACATTTTTTCATATATTTACTTGCTGCTTTTACTTCTTTGTCTGAGAAATGTCTGCTCATTTCGGATGCCCATTTTTGAATTGGGTCTTTATATTTGGGGGGCCTGATTGTTTTGAGTTCTTTATAGATTCTAGATAATAGTCCTTTGTCTGAGGAGCAGCTGGTAAAACTTTTTTCCCACATTGTACGTTGTCTCTTAGTTCTGTTGATGGCTTCTTTTGCAGTACAGAAGCTTTTTAATAAGATGAAATCCCAGTTGTTAATTCTTTCTGCTAGTTCCCATGCTACTGAGGATTTGTTCATAAAGTCTTTTCCTATGCCAGTGTCTTCAAGAGTTCTGACTAACTTATCTTTCAGCGAGTTTAGTGTAGTGTTTCTGTTTTAAAATTGAGATCTTTAATCCACTTGGATTTTAATTTAGTGCAGGGTGAAAGATAAGGGCCTAGTTTTAATCTTTGGCAGGTTGAGATCCAGTTTTTCCAACACCATTTAAAGAGGCTGTCTTTCCTCCAGTGGAGATGGTCAGCTCCTTTGTCAAAGATGAGGTAGCTGAGTACATCTGGAGTTGTTTTTGTGTCTTCCAGTGTGTTCCACTGATCCTCAGGTCTGTTTCTTTGCCAGTACTAATGCTGTTTTTATCACAGTGGCTTTGTAGTATAGTTTCAAATTGGGAATTGTTATACCTGCTGCCATGTGTCTGCTGCCTAGGATGTTTTTTTTTTCTATTCTAGGTCTCTTCTGGTTCCAAATGAATTTTTCAATTCTTTTTTCTAGTTCTGTGAAATATAATGCTGGAATTCTGATTGGCATTTCATTGAATCTGTATAGCAGTTTTGATACTATGGCCATTTTCACTATGTTGATTCTTCCTACCCAGGAGCAGGGTATATCTTTCCATTTTCTTATATCCTCTTCAATCTTTTTTCAGAGTGCTGTAGTTTTCACTGTAGAGGTCTTTTACTTCATGTTTTTGGATACTATTGTGAATGGAATTGTTTCCCTACTTTCTCTCTCAGTGAGTCTCTTATTTGTGTACAAGAAGGCTATTGATTTTGGGGTGTTGACCTTGTATCCTGCTACTCTGCTACTCGAAAAGTGTCAATTAAGTCTAAAAGTCTTTTGGTGGAGTTTTTTGGGTCTTCAATATAGAGTATCATATCATCAGCAAATAATGACAGTTTAACTTCTTCCTTTCCTATGTTTATTGCTTTAATTTCGTTCTCTTGTCTAATTGCTATGGCTAGTGTTTCCAGAACTATATCAAAGAGGAGTGGTGATAGTGGGCATCCTTGTCTTGTTCCTGATTTTATCGTGAAGGTTTTTAGTTTTGGGCCATTTAAAATGATGTTGGCTGTTGGTTTTTCATAGACAGCTTTTATTAAGTTGAGATATAGATCATCTATTCCAATTTTTGCAGTGTTTTTATCATGAATGGGTGTTGAATTTTGTCAAATGTTTTTTTCTGCATCTGTAGAGAGGACCATGTGGTTTTTGTCCTTGACTTTGCTAATATAGTGTATTACATTTATTGACTTACGTATGTTGAACCATCCTTGAATCCTACGAATAAATCCGATTTGGTCAGGATGTATGATCTTCTTGATGATCCTCTGTATTCTGTTTGCTAGCATCTTTTTAAGGATTTTTGCATCTATATTCATTAAGGAGATTGGCCTGTAGTTCTCTTTTTTAGTTGCATCTTTCCCTGGTTTGGGAATCAAAGTGATACTTACTTCCAGGAATGGGTTTGGAAGTATTGCTTCCCTTTCAATTTCATTGAAAAGTCTGAAGAGTAATTAGTTGTTTTTTTAAAATTTATGTCCCCTGTCATAGAATAAAAGTAGTTTGTTAGAGATTCCTATTAGAATATTTGTCAATTTCCAGTTTATTTACTGTAATATGGGCCTTAAATATTTTGATGCTGTTAACTGGTACACAAGATTAATGTTTTACTTCAATGTTATACAGAACTTGCACTAATAAGCTGCTTTTTGTTTCATATAGCAGTTTTTTGTTTGAGTTCACTCTGTGATACTGAGTTACAACCTTCATCCTCATCAGTTTTTTTGCTGTTCCTCTCATTTTCTTTCAGGCATGTACTCATCTTCTGCATATATCTTTACCTACTGATTTGAATTTAAATTTCTGGAGTTAGTTCACCTTAAATTTGTCCATTTTATATAATTAAGTAGATTTATATAATTTACATAATTAAGTAGATTTATTCCAATTAAACTTGATTATAGGAAACTTGATGAGTCATAATGTTTCAGCTTATTTTATGTTACTATTTCTGTCTTCATTCTTCTTTTGTTTGCCATGTTTTTCTTGTACTCTGTATTTCCTTAGTGTTGATTTTCCATTCCAATCCAATAATTTAAAGGACTCATAAATAAGGTGAAGACAGCCTCTCATCTTTCCTCTGATTTCCTACCTGGATTTCTAGAAAGGTTTTTCTTCCCCTTGACTTCTACTGAATGCATCTCAATATCTATTATTCTATATTATTTTTATTTTACTGAAACAGTAAGTTTTTCCAGATAAAGGATTAAGAAAGTTTTATTAAATTTGGGTATTTTTTGCTCAGTAAAAATGATTATTGATATATTGAAGTCTATTTATTTTACATATCTATCTTCCTCTTTCAAATCTCTCTCTCATTTTTCTCCATCGAGTTTTCTGTAACTTTTTCAAGCGTTGTCTCCTTTTTTTTTACTTCATGTTAGCAATATCTGCCTACTCACTCCTTCAAACATGATTCTCCTTCCAGGAAGATTATTGTGGCTATCTTCAGTTTTTTCCCTATCTCTACCCTCTATGTTTCATTGTTTTCAAAATCATTTTTTGAATTCTTATATATTTTTATTTGAAGGGTCTTTTCTATAATAAAGATATACTGTACTAGCTGCATGACCTTAAGACACTTTCCTAAGACAACTTAATTTTCTCATCTCTGTAAAAATAGACAATAACATCTCCCTATTTCTCTACACAGATTATAGAATCAT